GGATTTTTGATGATAAAGCAATCAGAAGTCAATATTTCTATTTCTCCAACATTCCAAGGCTACATTCTCTTTGAATCTCTGAGAATCTCAGGATTCTTTGACCTTTTTCTTCCTTGTGATTTTAAGTTCAAACCAAGCATGTGGGCTTATCCTACCATCAATTCATCCTATAAAAGTTTCTGTCAGAGCAGTCTTCAGTTTGCAGTTAGACAAACAAAGCAGGAAAACATCAGCAGTATTCTCAGATTTTCTTAAAATAATTCCCTTAATGTAACATTGAGTTTTAGTGCTTGATATCTTACAAGCTTGGATACTAAGGATGAATGTTTATTTTTGAGCCTCTAGTTCATGGGCAAAACACTTGTTGCTTTTTCTAGCACTATCAGAGATAATAGCTTCATTCTCTACCACAACAGAATTTTCTGACTAATCAATTATGTTTATATGATAAATCAGTGGCCCAGGCAAGATTCAACAGGATAAAGTCTTTTATTCTTTCATTTTATTATGATTATTTTGCTTGGATATATTTCTATTTCTAAATATTTGGTCTCTTTCACAATATTTTATTCTTTTACACAAACTTATTCACAGATATGAAAACCTATACAAATATGTATAGGTTATACAAAATCTCACAAATATGAAAACCTATACAAAGGGGTTATAACATTGGGCCCAGAGTATTTGACTCCTACTCTGGTATTTAACGACAAGTTAGAAATAACTATTTATATAGCATGCATTAGGTATAGTCACTGTACTACTACAGGTGACATAAAAGAAATTTTATGGTCTTTTTTGTTTTATTTTATTTTATTTTTTAGAGACAGGATCTCACTCTGTTGCCCAGGCTGGAATGCAGCGGTACAATCACCACATCTGACTAATTTTCTTTTTTTACTTTTTGTAGAGAAGGTTGGGGGGTGGGAGGGGGTGTGTCTTGCTATACTGCCCAGGCTGGTCTAGAACTCCTGGGCTCAAGCAATCCCCTCTCCTTGGCCTCCCAAATCACTGGGACTACAGGCACAAGCCACTATGCCTGGCAAAAGAAATTTTTAAAATGGTCTTTTTCTTGATAGTAACTTCTCTAGGAAGAAAGACCAAACATAAAAGAAATGTGCAAGAAAAACTGGAGGGAAAAAAAAAAAACACCGCACCACAGTATGAGATGCTGACAGGTACCATTTGCTGCATGCTTACCACAGGCAGGGAACTGTGCTCAGTCCTTGCCATGCGACTCTCACTCATTCCCCACAGCTCTGTTTTATAGATGAGAAACTTCAGTAACTGAAAATTGGAATTCAAAACCACTTCTGACATCAAAACCATGCTTCTAACTATATAGCACTGCTTGTTTAATAAAGCGTAAGGTATTTTCCTTTACCATTTATATATTTCTTTTTTTTTTTTTTTTTTTTTGAGACAGAGTCTCACTGTGTTGCCCGGGCTAGAGTGCCGTGGCGTCATCCTAGCTCACAGCAACCTCAAATTCCTGGGCTCAAGTGATCCTCCTGCCTCAGCCTACCGAGTAGCTGGGACTACAGGCATGTGCCACCATGCCTGGCTAATTTTTTCTATATATTTTTAGTTGTCCAATTAATTTCTTTCTAATTTTAGTAGAGACGGGGTCTCGCTCTTGCTCAGGCTGGTTTTGAACTCCTGAGCTCAAACAATCCTCCCGCCTCGGCCTCCCAGAGCTAGGATTACAGGCGTGAGCCACCGCGCCCAGCCACCATTTATATATTTCAATGACAAACCTCCTGAAAACTAGAATGGTGTTACTTAACTCCTATGCATTTCCCGGGATCTTGCACAATGTTGGGCATATATGTTCCAACTTTCCCTGGGATGAACTGCAAACGAGATCACCAAAATCTTAGCAAGAGCAGCATAAGCTTGGCGTACTACACCTTTTCTAAAAGAAAGAATATAACATAATGGATATCAGGTAGCTTTCTCTTGGTTTACATACCCATTAAATTCTTAGTGTCTCCCTAGCTGTTTTAGTCCATTTGGGCTACTATAACAAAATACCAAAAACTGGTAGCTTGTAAACAACAGAAATTTATTTCTCACAGCTCTAGAGGGTGGAACTCTTAAGATCAAGGCACTGACAGATTCAGTGTCTGGGGAGGGCCTGCGTCTGATTCATAGATGGTGCCTTCTCTCTGTGTCCTCACTTGGTAGAAGAGGCCAACAAGCTCCTTTGGGCCTATTTTATAAGAGCACTAATTCCATTCATGTGGGCTCCACCCCTGTGACCTAATTGCTTCCCAAAGGCCCCAGCCCTAATACCATCACCTTGGGGGTTAGGATTTTAAAAAATTTTTTTTGAGACAGAGTTTCCCTCTGTCGCCTGGGCTAGGGTACATTGGCATCATTGTGGCTCACTGTAACCTCAAACTCCTGGGCTCAAGCAATCCTCCTGCCTCGGTCTCCCAGAGTGCTAGGATTACAGATGTGAACCACCATGCCTGACTGAGTTAGGATTTTAACAAATTTTGGGCGAATATAAATATCCAGTGCATCGCACATGTCTCCAGGATTTTTCACCCGACTTTTTTCTCAGCCCACCTCCTCTACCTTAATGAATCAACTCAATTTTTACTTCTGTGAAGGAAACTTTCCCTGACCTCCTGAGGGAACTACTTCTCCTTTGTCTTTTACTACTTCTGGTATCTTTACCCCTTTATTGCACGCATCATACCATATGTAACACTAGGGGGTGTGTGTGTGTGTGTGTGTGTGTGTGTGTGTGTGTGTGTGTGTTTTGCCATCTGGTGGGGGAGAAAAATGCATTACATAAGATACATCTCATGTCTATGTAGATATATGTGAGATGTTCAACAAGTATCTCATAGGCAACATAATATTTATTGAGTGCATAATAGACACTCAATAAATAACTTTTATATTAGAAGATGGTATAATTGAGTAAAGCATTACTTAAATTGCCCCCTTAGAAACTCCCCGAGATTTTAATAGCTGTTCCTTGAAAAAAAAGAATTTATTGGTCAAATTACTCTGATAAATTCAAGGTTGAAAAAAGTTAACCCTTTTAATGGGTGATTTAATTTTTCCCTGCAATACTTCTTGTAACTCTTAATGTGCTGGTGTACATTGTGACTCTCCAAAAGTGAATTCTGTAGGCAGCATTTCCTAATCATGTTTGGCTGTAAAATTCCATCTTCTCTATGTACCACAGAACACAGTTTGGAGACATCAGTTGAGAGTAGACTATGATATCATTGTCATCGTATATTAACTGATTTGGGTCACCTTTCAAGCCTTAGTTTCTTCATCTGCCAAATAGGGATAATACCTATATCTAATAATGTTGTTGGCAAAATGAAAAGGTTTACAAAATGCCCAGGAGTTCTTAGCAGATGTTAGCAATTACAGTTATTAATAATAACATGGGCCGGGCGTGGTGGCTCACGCCTGTAATCCTAGCTCTCTGGGAGGCCGAGGCGGGCGGATTGTTCGAGCTCAGGAGTTCGAAACCAGCCTGAGCAAGAGCGAGACCCCGTCTCTACTAAAAATAGAAAGAAATTAATTGGACAACTAAAAATATATAGAAAAAATTAGCCGGGCATGGTGCGCGTGCCTGTAGTTCCAGCTACTCAGGAGGCTAAGGCAGTAGGATCGCTTGAGCCCAGGAGTGTGAGGTTGCTGTGAGCTAGGATGACGCCACGGCACTCACTCTAGCCCGGGCAACACAGTGAGACTGTCTCAAAAAAAATAAATAAATAAATAAATAAATAATAATAATATGTCCAGGATCCAACTATTTATCTTTAGATCTCCAGCACTTTGCATAGTACCAGATTGGAAGCTGAGTTGAATTCAGACTGTTAGCACATGGCTCAGCTTTAGAATAGAGTTGTCTAAAAAGGCTTCCCTCTTCAAGGCATAACTGGCTTGGGGAAAAAAAAAGGCTTCCTCTCTACGTGTATCATTTGCCTTTTTTCCCCTTTTACATTGGAGGAACCACATTGGATATCCTTTTGACAGGATCTGAGTCAATATTAGGTTAGTCTTGTTCTGGCCATGGTCCTGTCCCTTAGTATCTTCTTACAAAAAATAAAAATAAAAGAAGAAGAAATGAAGTTGAACTAAATAACCTTGAGAATTCATACTTCCCCTAAAATTCCAAGGTAAATGGAAGTGATTCTTTCTCAAGTTGTAGCAGATAGAATTTTTGTACTTTGTAAATGGGATGATGAGCACCAAAAAGTCCTTATCACTCACCACTTTCTTTTTTTTAATGTCACTTTAAACTGCTTCCTGTCAAGGTTTTTGATATAAAGGAATTCTACTTCTGTTAATCTGTTATTTTAGACCACTGCATCAGTTATTCTATGTGACTATATAGCACTATAAACTAGAATTTATGCCTTGAAATCATTTTGATTCATCTCCTTCCCACACCTGTTTATGAGCAAGTGCAGCTGTGGGGTGGTTCTTTGTGTAGGATTAAGAAACACAGCAGTTCTTGAAATATGCCAGATGTTTGAATTTTCATAGGAAAAGTTCACACCTAGTGAAGTATTTATTTACAAGCTTCACAACAAAACAAAAACCAAGAAAACTTTCAAGGGACATGGGTCATAGAAACCAACCGAACCCCACTGTTTAACCCAACTTCATGGCCCAGGGGACGTCGCAAAAGACACAGAAACGTTGATCTCTGTACTGGCTGTAAGAATTTGTAAACAAAGGTTATGCTCACTAATAAATTACAATGAGAGTTACAATCTAAAGAGAGACTCCCGCTTTGACCGTCTTTATTTGGATTCTATCCGCTTTTCCAATAATATGTCCTGCATACACGCAAAAAAGTGGTTTTGAAAACATTCCCTAAAATTAGGGTTTATGGAAACTTCGGGAATGCTTTTGAGATAATCCATGCAAAACAACTACGTTTTAAAAATCGAAAGTGAAATTAGTTATAACCTGTTTCTGGACTAGTCGGTGGAGACACCAGATTTGGTATTCCTGGCAGTGGTGAAGTGTTGGAGAACTTTGTGAAGACAAAGTTGTTAATGCGACGGACACCTGCTTCGAAGGCACCTCAGATCTCCCAAAGAGCTTCCGCACAAGGCAGGGCCAGGTCTGGGACCCCGCGCCGTCCCCACCCAGTCCCTCCGGGGGTTCCGGCGACCCGCTCGTGGTTTCCGGGAAGGGAGAGCGCGCTGGGCTCCGGGGCGCTGCGCTCGGCCGGCGGACGCGGTGAGTGCGGTGTCCTGCCCCCCGCTGCCAGCCCGGGTACTAGCGGTCTCGAGCTAGCGAGCCACAGAGGGGAGGGCTGCGGGTTCCGCAGGGCGGGGGCAGCGCGGGAGCGGGTGACGCGGGTGTGGCGGCTCCGCGCTCCCGGCCCGAGGCCACAGCGCTGCTTGGGGGCACCTGCCCCGGCCCGCTGTGCCTTCCCGGCTTCTAACCCCGTCGCCTGTGTGCTTTGCTTCATTTGGGAAATTGAAACTTAAAGTGATGTGCTTTTCCTCACAGTTTCTTGGAGTGTCTCTAGAGAGAGTTCTTAGGAAAATGGATTTCTTAAGGAGACATAATCCTTGGCAGGCGCAGGATTGTGCAATCATGCCTCGTTTTTCAGAATATGCAAGATTTTTCTTGAAGGAGACAAGCAAAGGGGAATACTATGTACGCAGTCTCCACAACATGTATACGTTCTGTTTCCTTCTTTTTGCTGCCAGGCATGCATACAGGAAGGTTCCATTCTATAGGGCCTCGCACCGCAGTGATATGAGGGGATGGTGATTTGTATTGGCTTTTTATTCGCTGCCATAACAAATTACAGGGATTTAGTGGCTTAAACACACATACACACACACACACACACACACACACACACACACACACACACACACACACACACACACACACACACATATACACACACACTTTATTATTTTAGGATTGCGTACAAGTCATACCCAGGTCTCACTGGGTTAGAATCAAAGTGTTGGAAGGACGTCCTCTCTGGAAGCTTTGGGGGTGAATCCCCTTCCCATCTTCTAGAAGCTGCCCACCCTACTCAGCTCTGTGGCCCTTCCTCCATCTCAGACCATTCTTCTATGATCACATGTCACTCTGATTCTCCTCTTCTGTCTTTCTCTTTCACTTTTAAGGACCCTGGTGATTACACTGGGCCTCCCCAGATAATCTAGAGTGATTTCCCTATTTTAAAATCAGCTGATTAGCAGAGACCTTAATTCAATCTGCAACCTTCATTCTCCTTTGCTGTATAATCTAACATAGTCACAGATTCTTGGGATTATACATCTTTTAGGGCACCATTATTTTGCCTACCGCATGATTGTGTAAGAGGAAAAAATTATTGTATATCTCACTTACACAAAGAGGAGACATATCCAGATGCTAACTTCGGCAATATGCCGAAGGAGTGCTGGAGGAATTATGTAAGTAGACCATTTATACTGATTACAAGCTCTTAAGACTATTGTCCTCCCCCCTTTTCTCCCCCCACCTTGTGCCCTCTTGCCCTTTGGCTATGTTATGTCACAGCAAGTAGGCCCCTCACCAGATGGCCAAACAGATGCCAGCACCATGTGCTTGGATGGACCTCCCAGTCTTCAGAACCATGAGCCAAATAAATCTCTTTTCTTTATAAATTAAAAAAAAAAAAGACTATTGGCATTGTTACAATAATTAAAGAAAAGCAATTAAAAAATATTGCAGTTTCTGTCCTCTGGAAATGTAGTAAGAGGACTTCATATGCATGTGATGTCCTGAGCACAATAAATCCCCGAATCAAGATACCACACAATGCTATAAACTGAGTATTTTCGACATGTAAGCTGGTAATATGCTAGGTGCTCTGATAGATGCAATGAGGAGTAGACAGGGTCCCTGCCCTTAAGATCTCTACCAACTTCTTGTGGAAAATGACACGGGTACATGAATAATTAAAATAAATAAAGGGAGAGGGAGGCGACGTTCTTTGGGGGAATAAGAAAAGTCTTCAAAAACTTGGGGGAAATTTGGAATGGACCTTGAATAGTAGGATTTCATTAGGTAGAGATTAAGGCTGGTAGGGTAGGAAGAATGTGACATATTGAGGGACAGGAGAGAGATAAAGTACCCTTCAGGGGTTCTGTGTGGTTAGGAAACTGAGTTGGGGAATTGTCTAAATAAGACTGGAGAGTGAGTTGGGATTAGTTTGTGTCAGATCTTGGATGACCACCATTAGGAAGATTCTGCTGTCGATACAATAGGGATCTACATGTATATATATATGTGTGTGTGCACATATATATATATGGTTTAAAAAATATATATATCATCTCAAACCATCTCAAACATATAGAAAAGTTGTAAGTACATAAAACAACTTTTCATTTTCCTGAATTATTTAAGAATAAATTCCAACCTGATGACCCATCACCCTGGAATACTTGAATATACATTTTCTACAATAAAAGGTGTGTTCCTACATAACCACAATACAGTCATCAAAATCAGGAAGTTAACAGTGATATGGTACTACCATCTAATCATCAGATCTAATTCAAATTTCACCAATTGTCCCAATAATATCTTGTATAGTGTAGGAACCAAGGGAAAACTTCCTCTTTGCCCTCCGAAGGTTCGCTGAAGAAATCAACTGATGAGAGAGATTAATAGGGAAAATGGCATCCAAATATATTATTATGCAGCGGGAAGAATCACTGAGTGATTACTATACCACACAATGGGGTACAGATGCTTACATACCCTACTTTTTAGGGGAAGGGAGATGGGGAAGTTTGGATGCTTTTAGGGAGATAGTAAGTGACTTTTAGGGGAATTCAATGGGCTTGAAGAACATATAATGACCTAGCACAAAGTCTGTTGGGCCCAAAAAACAGACAATGGTTTGTGATGAGTCTGTCTGGATGTGTCTTTCTTCCTGTGATATGAGTTCAGTTAATGAAAACTCAGGGAAGGGACCAGAGGTAATTGTTTTCTTCCTTGGCAGACTGGGACTTTAGGTAGATAAGGGAACTTCAGAGAACAATTTCATCTGTGCTTTGGGAGCCAGAGTAATGAGAGGCATTGGGGGGGCAGAATGTCAGAGAGACCTTGAGCCTTCTTCAGTTCAGCATGTCAAAGCACCATATTTCAAGGTATTGGTTTCTGAGTCTCAACAGTAGCAAAAGGGTCCAGTTCAGAATCATGCATTGCACGTAATTGTGATGTCTCTTTAGTCTCCTTCAGTCTGGAAGTTTCTTGGTCTTTCCTTGACTTTCATGGACTAGAAACTTTTAAAGAGGACAGGCCAGTTGTATAGTAGAGTGCATCTCAATTTAAGTTTGTTTCCTCGTGCTTAGATTCAGGTTATGCAACTTTGGTAGGAATATTATCAAAGTCACACTGTTTTCTTCTCAATGAATCCTATTATATGTGACATGATTTTGAGTATCACCGTTATTTACTTAATTATCTCATTATGGTGGCATCTGCCAGGCTTCTCTACTGTAAAGTTACTTGTTTCCCCCTTTGAAATTGGTAAGTATTTTGTGGGAAAGTGTTTTGGAACTAACTAAATATTCCTTTCTCCACCAAAATTTCCAATTTATTTGGATTCAGTTTTCTATTTTACTCAATGGATTTAATCATTACTACCATTATTTGTTTTAATCTTCAATTTATTGTCAGATTTGGCCAGTGAAAACCATCTCAAGTTGAATTCTGTGTCCTTTTGATATGTTTTCATCATTCTTTAAACACTGCCTTGCTCATCTTGTAGTTTTTGTGTCCTGGTCCTGGGATCAGCCATTTTTCCAAAGAGCCCTGGTTCCTTTCAAGTGGAGACTTAGAAACCAAAGTCTGGGTGCTGGCTATGCTCATTGCTATTGTCTCTGTTCCCAGGCCCTCTCAGCAGGCAAAGCTGGGGTAGATATGTATTTGTTTATACATTAAACACACACATTTATATCAATCTATCATAAACCATGAAATTACATTAATATATCCAGTTCCAATCAATAGGATTCATTCTAGTTTTCTCCCTTTCCGTATTTGTAATTACCTTCTCTGACGGCAAAACACCTGGCTCCTACTACATCCATATATTTATTTACTTGGTCAATTCCCTGTATGTACCTTTGGCCACTGGGAGTTCTTTCAGTTGGCTCCTGCGTCCCCTTTCACATACCTCCATTGTGTGTGTGTGTTTTTTGAGTGCTTTTTATTTTTCTGGAGCTACAAGATATTCCAGGCTTATCTTGTATATTTTCTGCCCCAGACCTAGAATCAGCCATTGCTCCAGGGAGCCCCAGTTCCTTTTATTGGGGAATAGTATTAGAAACCAAGATCTGGGTGTTATGTGACCGCCTCTGTTTTTGACACTCCTCTGTTCACACTGGGTAAACTAAGACATGACTAATTTTTTGCTAGTCTTCTCTTTTATTTTTAAAGAGGAATAGATATCTTCTGTTTCTCTTTCAAGAATAATGAGAATTTAGCCACTTGAAATCTTAGAAAATTATATTGCAGATTGGTTATTAGTGTACATCTAAAAACATAAGGAGAGTCATGATATCCTTTGTCCCATTTTTGAGCTGGGAGTTTTCTGTCTCAGTAAATTTATATGCAGGTGGGAGTTCTTAATTTTTTTTGTGTGCCATGGACTCCTTTGCCAGATTGTGAAATCTATGGCCTTTCCATACCATCCCCCCCAAAAAATTTTTTAAATATGTGAAATAAAATACATATATTACAAAGAAAACCAATTATACTGAAATGTGGTTATCAGAATATTAAAAAAACAAATTTTTGAAATAGTAATATATATCAATATGTTACAATATATCATAAGACCTAGCAATGAGTTTAATAATTAATACAGAAGCCAGGTCAAACACAAACAGTATTTCAGCATATCGGCAACAATTATTATTCTATGAAAATATCTATGCTTTCTACTGCTCACTGTCACAGGTGCTGTGAATACTGCTGTAGTTTGTTGCCATATTCATAATTGAAGAGAATGCTAATTTTCAGTTAGAGGTTATTAGAAATAAACATGTAATTTTTTTCTCATACTAGTTTATGGACCCAGGGCATCATTTATGAAAATTCCAGGTAAGAACGCCTTTGTAGAGAAACACTGTGTTGGAGGACTTTTGATTTTGTCTACATTTGGAGCATACAATAGGGAGAATTAAATGTTTAACTCAAAATTTTTGAAAAAGGTTGGAAGACCAAAATAATAGGCTTTTACAATGGAACATAATATTATGATTGGGATGTGAACTACAAAAGAACATTGATGGCCATGATCTTCTGTACATTATTATGTTGAAAAGCAAAGGATTTTTAAAATTGTCTTATATATTTATAGGTGTGAAAGTTATTTGAAATATAAACTTTTTTGGATATAAGCCACATGATAGTAAAGAATTTGATGACAGGAAAAAAGATATAGCAAAGAAGAGAGGTCTCTTCCATAAAAGGATAAAAGTCGTTTTTTCTTTCTTCTTGAACTTATGTGTATATATGCTATTTTTAATGTATTTATTTTTTATAATAGAGAATCATGGCAGCTGATAAAGACAACAAAAAACAAGTTCTTAAGGAGCATTGGCCAGACGAATTTATGAAAGATGGACAAAATGAGGTGAAAATGAAATTTACTGGGTATTGTTAAAAATTAATTTATATCTATTAGTTTTGCAGTAAGGCATTTTTTTCAACTAATCCCATGACAGATTAAGTAAGGCATGTCTTATATGTCTTTGTCCAACATTACCTTGAATTTGGGAGACTATGAGGCTTTTCAAAAATGTTTAACTTCCATTATGTTATTCAAGCCTTACAAGGGTAGTCACATTTCTCTTCTTTCTCATGCAAGGCTTATGACATTAGCTGCTTTCTCACTCGCTCCCTCATTTCTTGGATTTGCACCTAAAAATGGAGAGCTTAGTTAGCAATTATCTGATCAGACCCTAAGAGAGAACAGAGGCTCAGGTAGCTTAAACAACTTACCCAAGGCCATATGTCTCTCTTGTCAAGGCAGCTGTATACTGGAATCACAGCTAATTTTTTTTTAAACTGCGCCAGAGTAACATTCCACAATTGTAGTGCAATTTAAAAGTCATGTTGTACTTACAAATAGTGAGGAAGGGAGTTGATAGAGCATTGAACTAAGATTCAGATGATCTGAGTCTCAATCTTTGCCTTACTTTAAAAATTTCTATGACTTTGGTCCAGTGTGAAAGGTCATTTCCTTGTTTATATAACGGAGATAGTAATAATTGGCGGTGTTAGAATAGACAGGTGATGATGTCAAATATTTTTAAAAATGCATTGTTCACATAGTCATATTTATTCTGAGACTGTCTAATGCCTTTCTTTGCCATGTTCAGGATGAGAGAAATTTATTGTCTTTAATTCATTTATCAACATGAGTTCAGGACTGTTTAATTTTTTTGGTACCATTTGATATTTTTTAGGGATTAATTGGTGAAATGATGAAGGAAAATGCTCAGCTAAAGGAAGAGATCCAAAAGCTTGAAGCTGAGATACAAGAGGCCACCAGAGAATTCCAGGTATTCAGTTATTTTATGTATCACATTTTATTAAAAATGTGGACACACACTTTTCAAAAAAAGCAATCTAATTTACAAAATTCACTTTTAAAACATATGGTCATCCATGGCACAACCATTTTTAATAGCTCAGATTGGAAAACAACCCAAATATCCCTCCATAGTAGAATGAATTAATAAGTTGGGGTATATTCATACAATGGAATACTACATCGCGATGAGAGTGAACAGACCACAACTATATGCAGCAACATGAATGAATCTCACAAACATGATGCTGACCCTAAAAAGACAGAAGGCAGCATACAATATGTTTCCATTTAAATAAAGCACAAAAACAGAATGTTTAAATTCATAATAGTGGTTACCCTTGAATGGTGGGACACAGAAGGAACCCAGGGGCTTTCTGAGGTGTTTTCATGTTCTGCTTACTATCAGGGCACCAGTCATACATGTTACCTTTGTAAAATTTCATCATACACTTAACGATATACATACTTTTCTATTTATACGCTTTAATACAATTCACAAAAACAAAAATTAATAAAATTTGCTTCCCACAATGGTCATTATCAATCACTTTGGGATCAAATTCTTGGTTTTCTCACTGAGTTCTTTTATTATTCTTCTCATCCAAGGTGCTGTGGTAATTTAAATGAATTTCACAGTTTAAAAAAGTTGGACATATATTAATCCTCACCATTTAAATTGTCTCCTGTATTTTCCTGTATTTTCATTATGTATAACTTTTACCCCTTTTTTTCTTTTTTAACAATCCAGATTGTTAAACATTAAAGCATTGCCACTTTTTGTTTCTGAGATGCTGAATAGGATATTGAATATCAGGAAGTGAGGTTCCCAGTGTTTATGAGATGAGTGACTTCTTGCAGAAGACTCTGTTAGGATTCTGGTTAATTCTCAGACTAGAACCAGAAGTATTTAGTCCTTTTTCTTGTACAAATTTATAGGGTACATGTGAAATTTTGTTACATGTATATAATGCATAGTGATCAAGTCAGGGTGTCCATCACCTGAGTACAGTACATTTTTTAAAGTATAATTACCCTATTCTGATATCAAACATTGAATTTATTCCTTCTATCTTACTGTGTACCCTTTAATCCACTTCTCTTCATCTTCCTCTTTCCCCTCCACTCACCCTTCCCGGTCTCTGCTATCTGTCTTTCCACTCTCCGCCACCATGTGATCAAATTTTTTAGCTCCCACATATAAGTGAGAACATTCCATATTTGTCTCTTTGCGCTTGGCTTATTTCACTTAATGTAATGACCTCGAGTTCCATCCGTGGTGCTGCAAATGACATGATTTTATTTATTCTTTTTTATGGCTGAATAGTATTTCATTGTGTATATATGCCACATTTTATTTATCCATTCATCTGTTGATGAACACTTAGGTTGGTTCTATATCTTTGCTATTGTGAATAGTGCTGCAGCTAATAAACATGCGAGTGCAGGTATCTTTTTGATACGTTGATTTCTCTTCCTTTGGGTAGTTACCCAGTAGTGGGATTGCTGGATTGAATGGTAATTCTATTTTTAGTTTTTTGAGAAATCTCCATATTGTTTTCCACAGTGCAGTGGCTGTACTATTAATAGTTTACATTCCCACCAACAGCATATAAAAGTTCCCTTTTCTCCGCATCCTCACCAACATCTGTTATTTTTGTATTTTTTATAATGGCTACAGAATCATTTAGTCTTACAACTAAAAGCATCTTCACAAACCAGCCAGCCCAGTTGGCCCACTTTATAGAGGACCGAAACTGTGATCCAGAGAGCTTAAGTGAATTACTCTCTGTCACAATATGGTCAGGAATAGAATCAGGCTTTCTCACTCTAACTCCAGACAGTTCTTGGCTTCTCAGGGTGTACTGGATATTTCCACATTATTGGGAAATAAATACTCTGCCTTTTCTCAGGCACTGCAGATTGTTTTGAAGTTAGCCTTACAGTAATCAGAAATCTTACTGGAGTTACGTGGAAAGATAAGAGTAAATGTAAAATTAGATCAAGTGACTTAATGAATATTTCTGATCTCTTTGTGATAAACACCTTTTATTTCAGCATGTGAAATAACCATGGGAAATAGAAATGCAAACACTTAACTCATTTATGCATTGATGTGTAGTTGTGTAAGTCTGTTAATCCCAATGATTTTAAGCAGCCAAGTATAACCACCGGACTTTATTCTCTCCAGGTTACAATTCTTGTTGATAGTGTCCCTTCACTTTTTTATAAACCTAAGTTGTAGTAGTGGTTAAAAAGTTGATGGGCAGGTGTTGGGGACAGTCAAATTTAAATACGATAAATTTAAAATCATCTAATTCAGGAATCTTTCTTTTTGGATGAAATTATATGGGTTTACCATAAAAATAATTATAGTATACCCAACTCTGTATTTCATACTTCTTTGCAATGAAATTAAACAAACTCTTTAAAGATTCCCTTGTGAGAGAGTCTGTTATTGGCACAGTTGTTTAGAAAGTACTTACGTACACGAATGATGTAGACTTTAGAATTGAAAACCATACAATATTGACCTGTTTAAACATTGATTAGATAAGGTGAGAGGATTATATATTTATAATTTCATCTGTGAAATGATATTAAAGGATCAACATTTGATTACATTACTGAGTACTTACATGGGAAGAAGCAATTACTCAAGATATTAAATAAGACCATACTCAATATTCTGTGAGATTCTAAAATTAGTGGAGAATGAAATATTGGATGACCAAATCACGTTATCATTGGAAGGACTTCAGTTATTTCTTGTCTTGATTTTAATCAAATGTTTCTGTTTGAATTAGGTTAAAGAGGATATTCCTGAAACGAAGATAAAATTCTTATCAGTGGAAACTCCTGAGGATGACAGCCAGTTTTCAAATGTCTCTTGTTCATTTCAAGTGAGCACAAAAGTTCCTTATGAGCTACAAAATGGGCAAGCACTTATCACCTTTGAAAAAGAAGATGGTATGACTCATGTTAAAAAATATGACCATGTTATTTGGAAAGCACTTGGACTTTCAAAGATCTTTCATAGCTATTTGTCTACTTTACAATTTTTACATATATCATTTCTTCTCATCTTCATAGTGACACTCTGAGGCAGGTATGATTATTTCCATTTTACAGACGAGAAAATTGACTCTGACATGTTAAGTGCCTTGAATATGATCACTTATTCAGAAAGTGGCAACTCTGGGACTCAAATCCAGGTGTTACGATGTCCAATACCAGCCTCTTTCTATTCCACGTGCTACCTAAAAAGGATAATGACAGTAATAATGTTTTAAGGTAGTATACTCATTTTATACTTGTATAACTTCATAAACACAGCAGGATAGGACAGTTATGATTTTATACATTAAATGTAGACATTTTATAGCCAAGAAAACAGATTCTGAGGATGTTTGAGTGATTTATCTAAGGGCACATAACCAGTGAATGGAAAGAACCTGAGAGTTAGAGACTTGGGACGAGACCTGATGTTTGCTGAATCTGCCCAGGTGAGGCCCTTGCTCAGAGCTGGGCGTGCCTTAACGAGGAGGGTCTGGCTTTGAGTCCCAGCTTTGTCCCTTCATAGAAGCATAATTTGGGGTGAGTTCATTATAAACCTCAGGCTTTTATGACAGTCGCTTTGTGGTATTACCTATTTCATGAGGCTGCTTTGAGTATTAAATGAAAAGTGTTGATAAAATCCTTAGCACAGTGTCTGACACATAATGAACACTTCATAAATGTTAGCTGTTATTATTGCTAATTACATTAGAAATTTTCCAGGTAAGGTAACAGAAGCTTAGAGAAGATGAGGAACTTGCTCAGAGTCCATACAGTTAATACATTGCTGAGCCGAGAGCCAACCCCTGAGTGCCCATGTACGTCCCACTGGATCAACATTCCTCTGAGCAGGCTGCCGTCCCAGGCCTTTGTTCTCATATTTAAGTTATGGAGTGGGACCAGGTGGTCTTCACAGCCCTTCCAGTGCTCAGGTTCTGAGAATCAATCATTCTAACCCACGTCTCCTGAAAACTGGTCCACCCCTGTAGCCTAAAATAAATGTTAAAGGGAAAGGCATTCCCTCAGGTCAGTATATGCACAGACAAGGCGGATGTCCCCAGTGTGCTTTCCTTCACCCTGGAGCCACCACCGCAGTTGAAGGTGGAGGACGAGGCCAAGAGCCACGCTGATGGTTGGCAGTGGGTGGTAACTGGGATATAACTGAAAGATGTAAAATGTAATGAGGATTCCGGAGGCAGGGATTCTGCACAGCAAATACCTGGGAATGATGGGAATGGGATTCTCTTCAGAAACAGCCACATCACTGCTTCTCCCCTTGATGTGGCTCTGGGGTCTCGATCTCCTGGGACAACGATAGGTTAAAACACAATTAAAGAAGAGTTGGCTTTTGACTATCACAGTCACAAAAGTTGAAGCACAAGTGATTTCTCTCAGCTGCGTCAGATCACCAGATGTTGGGGGTTTTCAGGGGAGTGGGAGGAAGGAGGATCATCTGAGTATTACTCATTGATACTTGCTGTTATTATTGTCTGTTGTCCTTAGCAAAAAAAAAAAAAAAAAAAAAAAGAGTCATCATCCAAGTTATAGAGTCATGTTGTGGTACAGAGAGTTGAATTCCCACAAGACAATGCCCTGCCTTCTGGCTCTATTCTCTCTTCTTCCAGCTGTGATGTGCTCTCTGGTTGTCATAAACACATATGAAGTTTATAAGACAGAGCGTGAACATCTCTTATCTTCATGATAAATTAGAATAGCAGCTTCCAAGATCAACAAATCAAGTGCTATAAACTCATGTCACACAATTAAAAAGAAATACCCACCCACATACATTTTAAACTGATATATGCTTGGTCTCTGGCATTCTAATGACTTTTGGCATAATTGTATTATGAAGCCTGTCCCGTCTGTGTGGATAAATTAGACTTGACAACTTTGTGACTGGGATAGCAGGACTATCAACTTTTTAAAGAATGATGTCAAGAGTATTTTAGCAAAAGTAGAATTCCTCATTAATATGGAAAAAAAAAAAAGACTCACTCTTTTATATTCCAGCCTATGTAGTCTTTAATATGTAATCCTTGGGAAGTCAGAGACAAAAATGAATATATGTATATTTCTGTAGTGCTTGTAACATATGAAGGAGGAATGACAAATGATAAAATTAAGTAAGATTAAAATTAAATATAAAAAGGACATTTAATCACTAAAGTTTTCCCAGCTTACTCAACATGGAAGGATTTCTGGCTGTGCATTAATATTCTAGGGGAGTTCCGTGGTAATGCTGTCAACAGTGGAAAGAAAGGGTGTGTGGCGGCACTGAAATAATGTATGAATTTCTGGAGAATTACCAGGCTTATCTCTTAAGAAATTCATCTTAAGAGACGAATCTAGAACTCGATAAGAATTTCTACGTTGTAATTTTTGCTGATGCATTTTGACATTAATATATCCTATTTTGGTGGCAAAACCATTATTACTTGGAAATCCCAAGCAAAATTTTATTTATTTATTTATTTTTGAGACAGAGTCTCACTCTCTTGCCCGGGCTAGAGTGCCGTGGCATCATCCTAGCTCACAGCAACCTCAAATTCCTGGGCTCAAGGGATCCTCCTGCCTCAGCCTCCCAGGTAGCTGGGACTACAGGCAAGCGCTGCCATGCCCAGCTAACTTTTTCTACTTTTAGTTGTTTGGGCAATTTCTTTCTATTTTTAATAGAGACGGGGTCTCGCTCTTGCTCAGGCTGGTCTCGAACTCTTGAGCTCAAACCATCCTCCCGCCTCGGCCTCCCAGAGTGCTAGGATTACAGGCGTGAGCCACAGCGCCCGGTCCCAAGCAAAATTTCAAAATTAGATCCTTTCATATTAAAGATAATTAAAAATATTCAGGCTAATTTGTTCTTAAAGCATAAAACTTTCTTAAAATATTAGAAATTAATACTTCTCAAATTATTTTTCAGTTGCCCAAAACGTGATAAGAATGAGGAAACATCATGTGCAGATAGACGATGTAAACGTGGAAGTTATAGCCAAGCCGGTTCCGTTAAACTCAGGAGTCAGATTCCAGGTAGCACCATGATTAAAGTGCTTTGGATTTCTATTAATCACGGGCACTTTTCTCATTCATATTTCTAAATATGAAACAATTTTCCAGGTTCACGTAGAAGTTTCTAAAATGAAAATCAGCGTTACTGGCATTCCTGACGAATTGCCTGAAGATCGGATGAGAGACAGACTAGAACTGAGCTTTTGTAAGTCCCGAAATGGAGGCGGAGAGGTGGAATGCGTGGACTACGACAAGCGGTCCGGAAGTGCTGTCATCACGTTTGTGGAAATCGGAGGTACTCGCACGTTTAGAGAATTAACAAACGCTCTGTTTCAATTATGTGCTGCCATTTCTGAAAGTATTCCTATTCTACTTCTTTTACTTGAAATTTACTAGCATGATAATTGGGGATTTTTAAAAACCTTATAAAATAGTAGAGTCTAGAAAATAATTTCCATGAGTGCTACTGAGAATGAAAATGTTACTACAAATAATACGTCTGTAAATGTCAGTGCATTGTTATCCCGTGCCAGGCATGCTACAAGGTGTCTATATATTTATCGCCTCTGATCCTCGGCACAACTCCAGGGGTAGGTGATACATTCATTTTCCAGATGAGGAAACTGAGGAGAGAACAACCAGATGTCTGTTCTTTTTTTTCAGGTAGAAATGGACTTTTTAGCAAATCTTTTTAAGGTGGTTGACATTCTTACGACTGAAAACAGAAGATTCTGCAGTTGCTATTGTTAATGTTTTCAAGTGATTTTTAATGTAAAATTTCTTGTTCTAGTTCTTAGAGCTTCTCCTGGGTTTACACATATAGTAGAAATCCAACTATCCTATTAAAAAACATTGATTAGATTTTTTCATTACAGAGTAATGCATGCTTTTTAAAGAAAATTGAAATAATACAGAAGAGCATAAATTTAGTTAAAAATGAGGCATTTCCTTAAACTTCCCTTTCGCCTACTATGTAGTTAGTTATGATTAGTTGGGTGTTTTTCTAGACCTTTCTCTGGGCACATTCAAACGTATCAATATGCATTTTTGACCTAGGCCTTTGGATGATGTTTAGGGCATCCTAGTGGGGTGGGTTATAGTTAGAAAGAGCCACAAAAGGAAGAGGTCTTGAGGGTTGCCTTAATATATTATCTTAGAAATGGACAATAACTTGGCAGAAATTTCCATAGTCAAGGATCCAGATTTTAATTTTCCAAATTCACATATTTAGTTAGTCTATTTATTGTTAGATGGTCCATCTCTTGTATTAAAAACAATCCATGAGAGACTTATTTATAAACTAGAATGCAATTTAAAACTCTACAGTGAGAGAGAATATGATACTAGCTTGAGAACCTGTGCTCTTATCTATCTGGGGAGGTCCTCCTGGAGGTTATGTCCAGCCAGAAAAAAAAATAGTTCCAAAGATTATAGTAGGTAACTTCTGAAAGATGTAAAGGTATTCTGAAGATAGATATTCCAGATACTTCACAAGCTGCCTCTTACTGATGTGTCACAACAACCTATGAAATAGGTGTTGTAATTATGTTCTTTTTGCAGAAAAGGAAACTGAGGCTTCAGTAAGTTAAGCAACATACTCGAAGCCACACAGCTAACGAGCAGCAGAGCCAGCACTGAAGCAAGTCTATTTGACTCAGGGCCTGTATACTTTTTTTTTTACTGTGATAAAATATACACAATATAATATTTACCATTTTAACGATTTTTAATTGTACAATTTAGTGGTATTCAGTACATTTACAATGTTGGCAACCATCACCTCTACCCATCTCCAGAAATTTTGTCATCCCAAAATGAAACTCTGTACCCATTAAACAACAACTCTCCATTGCCTCTTCCTCCAACCCCTGATAACCACCATTCTACCTTCTGTCTCTATAAATTTGCCTATTCTAGGTACCTCATATAAGTGGAGTCATATAATACTTGTCCTTTTTGTATCTGGCTTATTTTACTTAGCATAGGGTTTTCAAGGTTCATCCATGTTGTAGTATGTATCAGGATTTTATTCCTTTTTAAGGCTAAATTATATTCCTTTGTGTGTATGATATATATACACACACCACATTTATTTATTCATGTGTTGGTGGACATTTGGGTTGCTTCCAGCTTTTGGCCATTGTGAAAAATGCTGCTGTGAACATTGGTGTGCAAGTATGTGTTCGAGTCCCGGCTTTCAGTTCTTTTGGGTATATAGCCAGAAGTGGAATTGTTGGACCATATGGTAGTTCTATTTTTAATATTTTGAGGAACCATCATACTGTTTTCTGCTGTGGCTGCACCATTTTCCATTCTTACCAGCAATGCACCAGGGTTCCAATTTCTTCATATCCCCGCTAACAAGGGCCTACACTCTTAATCACCGTACCGTATTGCTGATCCAGAGAGGACTAGGGAGAGGAGTTAGAAAAAGAAGGTAGTTGGGTATTCTCAAGAATTGCTTCTGTTAAACTTTATGCAATCTGGACACACTACCTTTCTCTACTCTAGGAGAAAAAATGCTGCTAAAAAGTAAATCAGACTATTCTTTGTGTTGGAGAAAACCGATGGATTTTTATTTGCCTTCACTTTTTCTAGATGACATTCAATCCCCTTATCCCCCTCCCACCCTTTGGTTAGAATCATTCAGTTTACTGAATCTCATATATTAGTGACAGGACTACTAAGTAATTTGCTATATATGTGTGTGCATGTATTATACACATATATATCATAAATTATAAATATATTGAAAAAATATGTATATGGTATTCTAATCATAGTTTTTGAGAAACTGGAAAACATTCCAGTCATGTTAGGATGAGTGGGTTACTTTTTGCAGCTGACTGCTGTATTTTATATAGCTCAAGGTAAGGCTGTCTGAGGACATTGCAGTCCTTTGCGCATTGGCTGACTGCAGGGAATAATTCAAGATGGAAGGAACTATTTAAACCTCATTATCATTTGGTCTTGTGGTTTTCAAAATCATGTACCGTGAAATTTTCAAAGTGGACTGTAGAATTTCTTAAAAATTAATCTTTAGTTCAATGTTTACTATATTGTTTTGTTTGAAGGAAGTTTTAACTTTGGTTTAAAATGTTTATGATATTAAAAAAAGTATTTTTTTGCTTTGCTTTTAGTTGCTGACAAGATTTTGCAAAAGAGAGAATATCCTCTTTATATAAATGACAGCTGCCATAGAGTTACTGTTTCTCCTTACGTAGAAAAGCACTTGAAAAAGTATCAGGTAAGGTCATCTCTTCTCTTGCATTTTGGGAACTCACTGCCCAAGCCCATCCCACAGAAAACAAAGAAAAAGGTATGAGTCTGTTACTATTTGAATCTTATCAGTGGGGAATATCAAAATAGTTTCTTCACTTCATTTCTGTTTGGTGTAGAATGAGTTTGTTTTTATAAAGATTATTTTAATGCAAAGCTGTACATTGTTTATTCTATTAATATAATTTTTAAGCTGAAATTAGATAATGGCATAATCTTTATTTTTATACACAGAGACATAGCAACATTTCTCTCATGTGTCTCTTGTCATTGGGTATGAGAAATAATTCCTGTTCATTTTCTCCAAACTCATTATTTTTACCCCAAACATAGTCCTTTTTCCTATTTCTTCTTAGATATCAAAAGGCTCTACCATCTACCTCGCCTACCAGCCTGAAAGCTAGAACTCATATTTAACTCTTCGTTTTGCTTCACCTTCAATATTCATTTGGTCACTTAATCATGTCAGTTCCACTTCTGATGACTTCTGTAACTGCTCCTGTCCTCGAGCTGCCCTCCCTCCCTCTCTGCTCTCCAAAATGCCTCCAGAGTTAGCTTTCTGCTATTCAGATCTGGCTCTGACATTCTCTTGCTTCAAAAATCTTCTTAAGATTCCTGTGTCTCCTAAGATAAAGTCTAAAACATTAAGCAGACTTTATGAACATAAAGTTTTGTAATTCGAAGCTCTTAAACATTTTTCTGTTTATTTATTTAGTTTTTTTCCTGCTTAGGTATTTTCAGGACAATCTAAGAAGACAGTGCTTCTGACTGGAATGGAAGACATTCAGCTGGATGAAGAAATTGTGGAGGATCTAGTTGGCATTCACTTCCAACGGGAGAAGAATGGCGGCGGCGAAGTGGATATGGTCAAGTGTTCTCTAGGCCGGTCTCACATAGTCTATTTTGAAGAAGAGACTGATGGGACCCAATAAAGAGTCTAGCTTTTGAGCCCATATCACTGTAAATGTTTGACAAAAATGAATATCCTTTCCCTTAAAAAGAAACTTTTAGTGTTCATTTATTCTTGGATTCCAAATGTATTTCCATGTTTTTGAATTCTTTTTTGTCTCAAATGGTGCTGCATGTTTTCCACTGCAATAAGTACACTGTATTAAAAAACAGCTCTGTTTATAGATTATGTGAACTGATGCCATGTCTGTTGAAATTCACCATAAGTGATCCAGATGTCCCCCTGCCCGTGTTGGCTCATCTTGTCACAGTCCTGTGAGCCAATTTGGTCTTGGCCCGTGCTCACCAATATGCAGGCTTGACTCTTAACATTTTCCAAGAGAAATGCAGTTACATTGAGCAGTTTGTGATTTCTGTAAACTTTACAGAAGATTCGAGGGCTTTTGAGAGGGATCATTTTCCCACTTTGTGTAGCATTTCAGTCCACAGCTCCAAAGGTTCTGAGCACTGAATGTGGTCTTTTTCTTGAACTTTCCTTCACCCAAGTGCCAAATGTCCCGTTTCCTTTTGAGCCATCCCCTCTACAAATAGAAGTTGTAAAGACTAGCATTTCTTTCTTTTATATGTATAATGGAAACAATTGGTGAAAGAGGTTGAAAACTTTGGAATAAAGAGAGAGGTAAAGACAAAGTTAGTGTCTCATCACTCATCGTGCTAATGCTGGGGAACACATTACCTGCTTTCTAGGGGCTTGAAGTTTAGTTGGAGAGAGACCCAGTTTATTAGCATCCCACTGTTTTTAAACTTGCAGAAACTTTAGTGATAAAATTAAAAGTGCCTATTCAGAGAAGGTAAAATTCTTTTTGGTAAGGAATCTTTGGATAGCTTTTATTCTGAGGTATGTTTCATGAACAGCCAAAAGCAGAATTAAATTCAATAAAATTCTGGCAGAAATGAAGTGCTTTTAGAAAATGTTCTGACCCTAAACCTATCCAATGCTGCCTCCCATCTAAAACAAACAAAGGAAAACCTTGGGTTTTGCTTCTGATACTTTATTTTTAGGTTTTAACATTGTATTATAATCAGAAGTACTCATTCCCACATTTCTTTTAGTAATGACAGATGGTGCCTAAAAACTGTACAATTTATAATAAATCTTGTATTTACTGTTTTAAAAAGCTCTCCTATTATTCTTTGGGAATAGTAAGACTATTTAAAGCTCTCAAAAATGTTGAGAAGAAAACTTTAAAGTGCCTTTTACATTTACATTGTGCTAGTCTCACTAGTACAGAGGGTATTATTTATTGCCTATCAGGAAGAATTTTTTAATCTTTATTTATTTTTTATATTTAGGACCCAGTTTGAAATAGTCGCTTTTGTTTCTTCTGGGGTCTTGTTCAGGCAGTCGACTCGATAATTGCATTCAATTCTAAATTTTTATAAAGTTTTTAGATAAATATGACTTATCTTAGAAAACAACACTTTTCCTTTGGGTTCCTTTCACCCCCACCCCAGTGCAGTGTGGCTGGATGTCAGAAACCAAGCATTGGGTCCCTTGCTTATTCCTACACTTTCAGAGACATTACAGGAGGAAAGCTATCTTTGAAAACTTAACCAAAAGTACTGTATTGACTATTTAACGTACTAAATATTAAGTAAGGAAGCCTTAAAATGTGTGTCCAAGATAAGACAGCTCCGTTTAATTTGTGAAAAGACATTGCCAATACAGTAAGTCAGAACAGACAGATATGTGCAATTGTAGGTCCCTCCTGCTGTCTGTTGATTTATCAGTCAGGACAGACTAGGTTATGCCACGGTAACAAACAACCGCCAAGTCTCAGGGGCCTAACAAAATAAAAGTTTAATTCTTACTCATGCTGAATATCCAGCATAGGTTGATAGGGGACTCTGTCTTCATCACTTAGAGGCCCCATCTTGAAACATGCTTCCAGAATCATGGGGGCGGGGGAGTGAAATCTGGAGGGTCTTACACTAGACAACAAATGCTGTGACCCGGAAGTAGGACCCTTGCCCTACTTCTAATTCTTTCCTTTCATATCTCATTGGTTAGAAATAGTCACATGGCCCCATTCAAATACTAATATAAAGGAACTAGAACATTCTGTCTTGTAAAAAGTTAAGAGAACCAGATATGGCTGAACCTGAACAATAATCAGCATAGTCTGCCCTGTCCTCCTGGCCACCAATATTTAGTTCACTGTTTTTGACACGTGAAATACACTCATACTTACCTCTTCCCCAAGGGAGAAGAAATAAAAATTCCATCCAATCATGGTATCAAACTCAAAGTATATGAACTCTAACTGATAGGTGGTGGTTTCTACATCAGGTTTGAATGTTACTCCTCTTTCTCTAGAGACCTCCACGCACCCAGTATACAGGGGTGGAAATGGAATAAGATAAGTGCAGTAAACTATTGTGCTTGGAAAGGGAAAGGATGGGAGACACAGTGGTCACTTGGCCAACGTGATTCTGAAATCCTGTTCAGTAGATGTGTTTTCCATACCCCTAGGCTGTGGAATTTGAATTAGGCTGTGGTTCCATTCCCTGGAAATTCTTCTCTTGCTCATTGTCCTCATAGCACCTCAATGTTGTTTTTTCCATTATTCTTCTTGGCCACATCTGGAAATGTGCATTGAAATCTATTCTTCCTGGATCTGAAAAGCTTCTTCAGCACACTTCCTACGATCAATGTTTGGGACCAACATTTTTAAAGTTTTGAACAATCACAGTGTCTTTAGTCTGGGCTCATGGTTATTTGGCTTGTACAACTGAAAAACTTAATTAGCCATATTATCTATTTTATTCTGTTCAGCTTACATGTGCTAATAGCCACACCCACAGTTCTTTTCTAGACTATTTTTATTTATTTATTTATTTATTTTTAGACAGCGTCTTGCTCTGCTGCCCAGACTAGAAAGCAGTGGTGGGATCATAGCTCACTGCAGCCTTGAATTCCTGGACTCAAGCAATCCTCTTACCTCAGGCTCCTGAGTAGCTAGGACTACAGGAACACGCCACCATGCTCAGATCATTTAAAACATTTTTTTTTTTTAATAGAGATGAGGTCTCACTATGTTGCCCAGGCTGGTCTTGAACTCCTGGCCTCAAGCTATCCTCCTGCCTGGGCCTCTCAAAGTGCTAGGATTATAGGCATGAGCCATCAATTTGGGCCTAGACTTACTTTTTAGAGTTGATGTAACTCTCTGCTTTCTTAGCCCCATGTTTCTATCCCTCTCTTCACTTAGTTGTGGGTACTTTGAGTCTGTCTTTAGGAAGTGAACCACACTTTTAGTATCTTTTCCTTAAGCCTTTTGTTCAGTTGACAGAGTTTATTAAATTTCACAACCTTAACTGGCATTTTTGCTCTGGGGGACCTTAATCTGTTCAGAGATTTAATTGATTTGATCATTGATTTTAGCCTTGTCATAAAGCAGAGTTCTAATCAGTCTTTGTTACTTAAAGAGCTTCTCAGTTTTATCTTTTATTTGAGTGTGAAGTGTTGTTTCTTCCAACACTGCAAGTTGAAAGCCTGTATTTCTGGGCTTCCTCTATTCCCTTTCATTTCTACTTTCAGACTGGCCAATTCTTTTCTAAGTTTCTTTCTTTCTTGTATTACTTAGTCAAATGCACCCAATAATAACAGACATATACTACTAATTTTCTGTTTCCCACACTCTTTTCTTTTTAAAAAACTACAAGCTAATTAGGTACATTATCCACCTTCCAAGCTATCATGTGACAATTTTGCCAAGTGTTTTCTACTATGTAATATGGATCACCATCCTTCTAATCTCTGATAACTGTTTTCTTATTACCTGCCACTTGGCCCCTAAGCCAAAGCCATGTATTTTGGGTAGTGTTGTGGATTGTCTTTTTTTCTCTTGGCTATAAAACTACTCCATGTCAGAATACCAACTTCTGTAGCAATCAGAACAGACTATGTGATGCTGATGTGACAAATTATCGCTAAACTTCAGAGACCTAAATAAAACAAAGTTTTATTCCTTGCTTATGCTACATGTCCATGACAGTTCAACAAAAAGACCTCTGTTCATGGTAGATGCTTAGGGACCCCTGCTAACGGCAGCCACCATCTTTAATTTTGCTGAATGTCGTGCCAGGGGAAGAAAAGATCTTTGAAGGGTCTTTGACTGGCAATTACATTTTTGGTTCAGAAATGATATTTGTCACCTGTACTTACAACTCAAAAGTAAGCATATGGCCCTGCCTAACCATAAAGGAACCTGGATGCTCACTCTTACCATATGTTTGGAAGGCAGAAAGCCAAAAGAAAGATGCTCATTCTTGAAAAATATACCTATTAGTAGTATAATGAAGATAATAAAAATCACCAAAAATCCACATTTTAATATCCTCCTTTTTGTTCTTTCCCCCCAATCATATCACATTTCATCTTGTAAATATGCCCTCTGTTATTATTTCCCCATTGTTGGACATTAAGTTTGCTTCCAATGTTTTCACATTTATAAATGTTATAATGTATCCTTATGTGACTTGGTACATAAATCTTTTTCTGCAGTTCTGATCTTACTTTCAGGTGATAATTATTAGATTGATAGATTGAAGGGTAAAAACTCGTCTAAGGGTCTTGATCCATGTGGCTGGAATTGCTTTCCAGAAAGATAGGCATTGGTTTGTACTTTTCCTAACAGTGCAATAAAGGACTATCTCATTGCTTCCTTTCAGCATTGAGTACTTCTCCTCTACAAATGATTTTCTCTTTGTCCTATTTTTGAAAATTTTCATAAACATATCCCAGAGTTTTATGAAAATAAATAATTATCAAGATACAGGTAAAACTTCCAGTGATGGGTTTTGTTTTTGTTTTTATGGTATCACATCTTAAAAATGTTAAGGAAAATGTTAACCAATTTGATTTTATTAAAGCTTCAAGACATAGAAAAGTATAGTAAGGGAAGAGGCCTTATAATTGGGGCTATAAGATATTAAAACAAGATTTTTTCTGATGCAGTTTTAGCTAGTAATAAACTGCTAGAATTATTTTGCCACATTTGGGGTCCTGCTTTCTCGAGGGTGTTGAAATAGTTTGGCACATACAATGTTAAAGGTTACTCTATGTCAGGTTCGATGGCATAGATGGGTTGACCTGCGTTCCCAACTCTAATCCCAAAACTTTCTTCGTTTCCTGGAGAGGATTGAGACAGATATTCAATATAAGCAAATATACGAAGAAAATATTTTTAGAGAGGGGGCAGGGTTATGTTGCCGCCCAACCCAACTGGGTTGTATCACCCGCTGCACAGAGAAGAGAGAACACACTGAGGCAGTCACGATTACAATGGAGAAACGGTTTAATTTCACAGAGCGCTAAGCAGGGAGACGGAAGAAATTTCTCAATTCCGTCTCTCTGAGAATTTGGGAAATGGGGTTTTTAAAGGTAGTTTGGCAGACAAAGGATTAGGCAATTGGGTTTGCTAATTGGTTAGGTTTGGGGCAAGATCGTAGGGATGTAGAAATTATCTTCTTGTGCTGTTGAGTCAGTTCCTTGGTTGGGGTCACGATTCCTGTTGAATCAATTTCTTGGTATGGGCCACAGGTCTGGGTGGGTCAGCCAATCCACTGGAACCGTGGGACTTGGAAGATATCTCAGAAACTACATTTAGGTTTCAAAATGGTGATGTTATCTAAGGAGAAAGTTAAGAATCTTTATGACCGACAGGTATGTGAGTAGCAATTATGGGAAAGCAAACTAGGAGACAGTGACTGATTATTATCATTATTTTTAGCTATGCCTCTGCCTTTGCAAAGTTTAGGCCCTTACCACAGTTCTCACCTTGCACCCTTTTATTAATTTGTAAAGGGCGGTTTCAGTTATTAAGTTGGTATAACAGGATGGTAGATTAACTGGTAGAACAAATTAAGACTGGTGACCAGAGCCTGTCTCTTTGAAGAGGGGT